TTTCATGACCTATCGCCTGCAGAAGCCAGGAAGCCAGACTTGAGCCATGGTCGGCTTTGATGGTCACCCAACTCTTCCACGCGGCACTCTCATCTCCAGTACCGTCTCTCCTCACGTCTCCCACTACCACATTTCCACCCTGCCCTACGTCGCCTTACAAATCTTCTTATGCCCCTTCCAATCCACCTTCTGACACTCCTGCGAACAATATCTCGCCTTTTTACACTTGCCACAAGCCGAGAAGACCTTGCCATCCTTCGGGCTCCTCCCGCAGTTCGTGCAATCCCCCTCTTTCCTCGGTCCCCTTCCTTTCTTGAGAACCGCAGCCATAGCCGGCACCTTCATGTTCATCATCTCGACCAACGTCTTGATACTCATACCATCCGTGTCCTTGCTGTCGACATCACCGCCATGCTCCACGTACCACTTGAGCATCTGCACGTTCTTGCTCGTGTCGCCGTGGATGTCGGCTTGGGCGATCTCTGAACCTGGGGTAGCACCGAAGCGGTTCTTCGTGTTGACGGAACCGCCAGCGTCGAAGAGGATCTGCGCGAATTCGGGTTGCACGTAGGGTTTTGTGGATATGGCCCAGAAGAGGGCGGTGCTGCCCACGACGTCTTTGCCATCAACTGGCACTTTGAGATCATTGGCTAGATACTTCACGACGCCCAGTAATTCTTGCTTCTTGTTTGGCATCATGTGCAGCGCTGGCAAGAGTACATTGTAGATGGGTGTTTTCGTGGGGCCCCATCGTTTGGCGAAGAGATCTTTCCTGAGCGTTTCGCGAGCCTCCTCGGTGCCTCCGAGCTGTTTGATCATCATCTCCACGTAATTTTGTAGTGCGTCGAATTCTTGGTTGAAGATAGCGAGGAGGGTCTGGCCGACTGGGTCCTTAAGGTCACGACTGGGCACCGTGGGGTTGTTGTGGCTCCAGCCGCGAAGTTCCATGCCATCCATGCCAGCGAGCTGGTCATCGGAATTGATCATGTCTTCCACCGTACTTGACACTGCACATTAGCAACTCATTGGAGCTTCAAAGGTGTTGCGCTAAATACCGGCTTGACCGCCCTTGCATGTTCTGCAACATTTGCATGAACTGAGCCGACATGTTGTATGTTGTTCAATTGGTAGATTGGAGTAAAGTTCGTGTGGGTGCAGTCGTGTGAGAGTGATGTTGGATGGCAGGATGTTGGGACGGAGGGGTGACGGCGTGGCCCTTTCGCGCTTGGAGTTATCGATAGCACACGCGACTTCACGTGTTTCATCCACAACGCGCAGTGGCGGCTGGTCTAACAGCTGAAGCATTTGGAGCGTCTTGTCTGCACCCGGGTCACTACTTCTCAAAGGCGATCAAGTTAGGGCACCAATTTTGACATAGGTATATATATATATATATATTGGGTAACGATGAAGCGTAGCAGCTCCAATGAAACAGACATTCTGATAAACGCCGGTCTCGAACTCCGCATCCAGATGCGAAGTGTGTCCAGCTCGCCACGGTGGAAGGTATCGTATATCCAAACGCCAATGAACATACAGGTATCACCAGATTCACGTCCTCAGACCCAGTCACGTTCCGTGTTCTAACCCAACAAGTATCTACTTCTTCAATGCGGCGTCGTAAAGGCTGACAAGTATGCCAACCAGCGAGCCAATTTGCAGCCCATAGTATCCGCCCGGGACATTGTTTCCTACGCGCGCAACCGCGTACTCGGAGAAGGGACCCCACGCACTTGGCGCAAATGCCATGTTGACAGTTTCCCGGTAGGCATTGTAGGACAGGACTGCCCGCGCAATGTTGAAAATGAGCGGGTCAGCAGGATATTGGCGCTCGGAAGACTTGCGCGAGGTGTTTGAGCGAAGGGTCAAGTTGAAGAAGTAGGAGAACATCAGAGGTAGCACCCAGCTCGTAAGCGACCAGAGGGTAGCTGGTGCCCACCACTCGGCTGAGAGCAGCGCCCAGAAATTTGGCCCTCGAACGTCTTGGCTGCTCGTGTATGAGCCCAAGGCAGCGGGTGTAGCGAATAAGGGTGTTGTGTCGAGAGTGTTGTACTGTAGTCCTACAGCTTCAACAAGCAGGATGATGGTCTGGATGGTAGCGACCGAGCTTGCGTTTTCGCGAACGAATTCCTTCAGCTCATCGATTCGCGTCCTGTCCCACAGCTCGACAGCCTTGGTCTGGACGACTTGGAAGGACTGGTCAGCGACCTCAGCGAGTTGGGCAGGCGATGCGGGAATGTCCACTTGATTGTACAGCTCGGAAACGCGACGAGAGACGGCCTTTGGTTCGGCTTGAGCGACCACCTCGGAGACGCGACGGGACATGGCCTTGGGTTCAGCTTCAGCGACCATTTCGGAAACACGTCGAGAGACGGATCTCGGCTTTGGTGTACGCGCGACAACGCTGCGGATTTCTGGTGTAATGATGTGAGTGGACTCTGGACTGCGCGTTTGTTAGCCTCAGCGCGTCGCGCGTCGCGTATCCATTTGACATACGAAGGGTCTTTGTTAAGAGTTCGGCGGCGCGTCGTCTTCGTGATGAAGGGTTCTGGCGAAGACTTTTCGCGCTTTACTGGCGACCCATTGCGCCCATAGTAGTCGCTAAACTCGGGGAGTTTGGCAAAGGTGCTCCCATTGGAGTTGAGATGGCTCTCAAGCAGGTCCACGAGATCATCTTTCAACAGGCCATCTGCACTGCAAACGATTTGTTAGTATCGCATACACGCGCATGATCCATTCCAGCCTACTCGGGAAGTCTAGCCTTCTGCGCAAGGTCGATCAAGTCAGCTTTGCGCTTCCTCTGAAGCCAAGAGTGGGACATGGTGAGTGGTATAGATCAGGTCGCGTAAAGCTTGCGATCAAAATGAATCAAGAATGCAGGCAGAAAAAGCGTCGTGGGCGAAAAAGGTGGGGGCGGTGTGGTGTTGATCGGATGCAGAGAGACTCTGGATGTAAACACGATGGCTGGGGCTCACGTGGGTCATCTGGGCGCTAACTGTTGCAGGGCTTAGCCTACAAAATACATTGATCTGCAGCAACACCACGCTGGCTCTGAGCAAGATGCGTTGTCTGCAGTCGTTTTGGTGGCATTCGCGTAGGTATAGCTTAGGTAGTCTTAACTGCATCAAGCCGTCGTCTGGTCCCCGTGCTTCTGATAGCTGATAGCCAGGGCTTGCAGGGATGTGGCTGCGCTGCTCCGGTCTTGGCCGAAATTTTCCAGACGCAACATCATCGCACGGCCGCAGCGGCAGCAACGTCACTCTTTGAAGATACCCTTGCACATATCAAACTTCTCTATACTCGTTTTTCTTCACTACAACACCCACAGATCCACTCCCAGTGCACCGCTGCCATCGAAGCGCTCATGGTACTTGCCCGCGTGGCCAACTTCTTCACAAACGGAGACTCTACCACCAACCTGACCGACGGTAGCCGGAGACATGGCCCAAGCACAGCACACGCAGTGGAACTGCCCATGGAGGATACCAAGCGGGCAGCAATGGAGGACGAGGTAGACGAGGAAGCAGCGCGGCCGCCATACCTACATGTGAGGATGCCTAGTCTGCAGAGATGAGGGATGCCAATTGATCACAAACAGGCAATGCTGGCAGGAGGAATAGGAGGCACCACAGGTGACATGTTGATGCATTCGCTGGATACGGTCAAGACGCGACAACAGGGCGACCCGCACATGCCACCCAAGTACACATCCATGGGCAACACATACTACACCATATGGCGGCAAGAAGGCTTCCGGAAAGGCTTGTACGGAGGAGTGAAGCCAGCGTTTCTTGGATCGTTCTCGGGCACCGTGTGCTTCTTTGGAGCATACGAGTGGACCAAGCGGACCATGATTGACTATGGGGTTGCGCCCTCGGTCGCATACTTCTCAGCCGGTACACCTCCCTACAGATCAACAAAGCCCCGCCATGTACTGACAAACTTCTAGGTCTGCTCGCTGATCTCGCTGCTGCTCCCGCATACGTCCCCTCTGAAGTCCTCAAGACTCGCCTCCAATTACAAGGCCGCTACAACAACCCCTACTTCAATTCAGGCTACAACTACCGCGGCACCATCGACGCCGCGCGAACAATAGCCAGGGTGGAAGGCTACAGCGCCCTCTTCCACGGCTACAAGGCCACGCTCTGGCGCGACCTCCCCTTCTCAGCACTACAGTTTGCCTTTTACGAAGAGGAGCGGGACTGGGCCAAGAAGTACATGGGCTCAAACAACATTGGACTACCGCTAGAAATCGCAACCGCAGCCACCGCAGGCGGCATGGCAGGCGTCATAACAACCCCTCTCGACGTAGTAAAGACGCGCATCCAAACCCAACACAACGGCCCATCTCCCGCCTCTCCACCCGTATCCAAAGCACCACTGTCGCCCGCCGCGGCCTCGAAACACTCCACCCCCTCGCAAACGACTAAGACGAAAGCGACGCAAAGTAGACCGATATCCACATCTTCCCCTTCCACAACTCTCAAAGCCCACGGCGCCGCTACCCTTGACACATCCTCCGTCATGACCGGCCTAAGGATAATATACAAGACAGAAGGAATAGCCGGGTGGTTCAGAGGCGTTGGACCGCGCGCTGTCTGGACGAGTGTGCAATCAGGGACCATGTTGGTACTCTACCAAACGCTACTAAGGTATTTCGAGCAACATCCGCTGTCTGGCGGCGGAGATGTGTGAATAGACGTATTTGTACGATTTGTAAGAATAAAGGAAGGAAGGGGGAGAGAAGAGCATGATTGAGGACACGGATTTGGAGGTTTATAGATAAGATGCATTCAGCGGCGTTTACTTGTAGATATATGTGTCGCTGTGAGCATAGCGCGCCACTTTGAAGCGATAGAAATTGTGCTTTATCAAGAACATTTACACTCACAGATACTCAGACTCTTCATGCACTGACCCTGCGCCTCCCCCTCCGCAAAAGGCATTGTTCGATCCATGACTTCATTCAACTCCCCCCGCTGCATCTCCGCACATATCCATCACTTCCCTTCCTTGTCCGACATCGCTCTAGCCTCCTCCTTCTCCCTCCTCTCATCCTCCTTCTCCCTCCTCTCCTCCTCCTTCTCCCTCCTCTCCTCCTCCTTCTCCCTCTCCTCCGCCTTCTCCACCTGCCACCTCACAAAGCCAACTAGGTTAGGATAAGGTATGTGCCTCCCGAGGTCGGCCAAGTGCGTCGCAGCACGCTCGTTGCATCCTCAAGTTGGGCATGTTTCTGTTCGTCGAACTTGGCGACGAGGTCGTCCCAGGCGCTTGGCTGTATTGAGGGATCGTGGCGCGCGCGGAAGAAGAGGTCGACGGTGGCTTCGACGGCGGAGCGAGGCGAGGCTGTGGGTGTGTTGTTGAGCGGAATGTTGAAGTGTGTGCGGTGTATGAATACTTGGGAACTTAATGCTTAGGCGCATGTCGAGAGGAGTGTGAGAAGCATGGTTAAGGAAGCGGCACGGAAACGCAGATCTTGTACTTCCATGCATTCAATATCGTCGGTTCAATGCTCGACTTGAAGGTCGGATACGTCGCGCAACGACAGTACCTTGACAGATCGACAAATTTGAATATATTCCCCATCACATACCAATCTCCCTCCCCCGTCCACCTAACCCCCAACAAACGCCATCCTACCTCCCCCTCCTCTCCTCCTGCCCCTCCCCAGCCCCACCACCCGCAAGCGTCCCCCTCTTAACCCTCCTAAAGCAAGCAAACTGCACCTTAGTCCCCTCCCTCAACCTCTTCAAGCTTACCCTCAAGCTCCCCAACTCCTCCTGCAGCCTCACTCTCGCCGCATTATCCGTCTTCTGATCCAGCACCTGGTAGATATCCGTCTGGATCTGCGATGCCTTCTCTGTGGTGTACGAAGCGAGCGTTTGTGCCATGAACTCCACGTCGAGGGTTGCTTGCATGAGTTGCGGGAGGGAGATAGTGGGGAGGTTGGCGGATTGGAAAGTCGTTATGAGCGAGGTTGTTGTGGCTTCGAATAAGGAGCGGAGGATGCGCGGGGTTAGGGGTGCGGATGTTGTGGACGACTCGGTGTGCACGATTACGAGATCTAGGAGTACGGTGAAGACGTAGGGGCTTGGGTCGCGGTCTGCAACGCTTTTACGGTTGTCGGGGGGAGGTGCCCAGGTGGGGCTGAAGATGCCGGATTCAATTGTAGAGTGGATTTTTGTGGCGTGGGGTTTTGTGTAGGAGCGGAAGAGTTGGGCGTCGAGTTGGGAGAGGACGTCGCGGATGCGGTTTGTTTCGTCGGTTAGTTGGACGCTGAAGAGGGTTTCGAAGAGGGTGAGCAGTTGGGGGGTGATTTCGGACTGGAAGGCGGACATGTTGGCGAGGGTTAGGAGGAGGCGGATGGACTGGAATTCGTCAGTGGAGATAGTAGGATGGGTGCCATGTGTGCTTACCTTCTTGTTGGCATCGACCCTACCCCAGTCGTTACCATTCTGATCGTCTTGCTCGTCGATGGTTAGATCATCACTCTTGATCTCGAACTCAGCACCCAAGGCCTGTCTGCCTCGCTCCGCGCACTCGACCATTCCGCTGAGCGTCCTGTACAAGCTGGTGACAAACTGACTTCTAACCATCTGCAGCAGCTTATTGCTCGGTGGTACAACGACGTCCACCCTGGTCTTGCTTGATGCTTCGACGTAGAGTATCTTTTGCAGGTTGTTGAGTAGGAAGCTTTGTACTGCAAGGAAACGCTGGGGTAGGTTCGTGGTATCTTTGCGATCAACGTGACGAGTCCAATCCTCAAGCACTTTCAACTTCTCAGCATCAGTGTTCCAAGCTGCACATACAGCTTGGATGCAGCGCTCACGGACACCACCAAGAAGCAATCGCAGTGCCTCATCGATGCGGCCGCTACCTCCAGACTCGGGAACTTGAAGCGATGCAAGTTCGTTGGCTGCGGTGCCAATAAGGACAAGCATCTTGGACAGATAGTGAGATCCAGAAAGCGCATTCGCGTTAGGAGGCCAGAAAGCGTACTTTTCCCAAGACTCACCGCGACTAGGTGATGGTGGCGGTGCTTTGGCAGGATCAAACCTAGATCTCGATGCTGACATAGGACTCAATGCTGCGCTCAGTGGTGTTCCAGGTGTGGTTGGTGTCGGACTCATAGGTAGTGGTGACATGAGCATAGACACATCCTCAATGGGAGGATCTGAGAAGAACGAGAACAGATGTTCCCGCAAGATACTGATGAGTTCAGTCGTACCTCTCTCAAGCTCAGCTTTATTCTCACTACTAAGCCGGTGGTGAACAGACGATTGATTGTGATGGCCCGTTGGTAAGTTCCGTTGCGCGCGACTGGAGAGGAACGACTGAACGATCTCCCAATATTCAACTAGCTCGGCGAGCAACCCAGATTTGTTTGATAGCAGTGTAGTCATTGAGGCATACACGTGTTCCCAGAACTCCGTCACTTTCGGGGTGTCAAGCTTCGAAGGCTCAGCGCTGACGTTGCTGCTAGTAGGGACTGATCGCAGATGCTTTTGCAGCATGCGCATGCTTGGCTTCTCGCCGTTCGCCAGATGACGACGAAGAATCTCGATCTCAACGAGCGAGTGTTGGCACTTGGAGTTGAGCTGGAACTTGAGGTGCTCATAGCGTGAGAGCAACCACACCCAAATCGGGTTCTCCTCCACACCCAGCTCGAGCATGATTGAGATGATGCTCAGATACTCGTCAGACTTGGTGTCTTCGGTGCCAGTCTGTAGGTGCGTGAAGTGCGCTGCAGTCAAGCGCTTCCAGGATTCGCGCTTGAAACGCTCAATCTGCCGCTCGACGTCTGACCACATCCTAGCCGTCACAATGACTTGATGTATCTCGGCATCGGTCAGCGGCCTCTGATTAGACGTCGCCTGTTCTACAATGTATCGGGCTTCGTCTGCGTATTTCCTTGCGCGCTTGTATTCTTCGGTGATTGTCTCGTGGTCCTTCCGGCGTATGGCATCTTGAATGGCTGAGCCGACTTCGAACAGACCCCGATGGTGCTCCACAGACTCCATGATGGACTTCAATGTCTCTTCCCGCTCCCGTCCGTTCAGCGCAGGGCCCCAGACCTCCTCAGCTTTGACAGCGACTTCGGTCAGCGGGACCTTGATTCCATGCACACCGTATTCGCTCTCCTTGACGAGCGCATTCTTCCTCTTCTCCGCAGGCACCGCGTCAACCATGCCTGGTGTAAGAGATGCGCTTGTCTTTCGACCCGAGAAGCTGGATCGAGCCCTGGGTCTGCCGGTGCCAGGTTGTAGGTCCTTATTGGGCGCTTCCACCAGCTCCTTCCCCTGGTCCCGCATCTCATTGTATACACGGTCGATTGTAGCTTTGGCGCCTACGAAGCGATCGAAGTTGGACTCGACGAGGACTTTGAGCGAAGCAGACTTCTTCTCGATCGAGCGGGAAAGGAAGTCAAGACCGGCGAGGAGGGAGTCGGTGGAGGCTTCATTGTGGACTTGGGAGAGGAAGAGGGAGGGCGAGAAGGTAGTGGAGCTCAAGAGGAAGCGATTGCCTGTGTGTCCATTAGACAGGCCTTGTATGTATTGCTATATGACTGGAACGTACGCAGCTTGATATCATCCTCGACCTGAATGTTCTTCGCCCGCAGCACCTGCACTACACTGGGGTACATGCCCAACGGGTCCTGTTCATCCTTCTGAACCAACGTCTCCACGCCATCTTTCGAGCGCTCTGCTCCCGGGACCTGCCGCGAGAATCTTGCACTGGGCTCTAAAACCGAGTATCGTGACTTGGACCGCCGTATCGATTGTTTCGTGGCTTTGGGTATGGGCTCGTCGAACGTATCCTCTTCGTCGGCTTCGTCCTTCTCCTGCGGCCAGGTTGCGGGGTACAGTGTCGTGAGATTGTACTTGTTCAGAATCTCGGTTTCTATAGAAGAACTCATTGCAGCTGCCGGAAGCGCTGTCTGGTCACGATCTTTAGAAATGTGGTGGTGCGGCCTCGGAATGCTGCGTGTCGCAAGTGGCAGCTCGCTGAGACGCGGTTGCGACCGCCAATCAGGCGCGCGGATGTCTTGGCGGAAGGTGGGCCATCTACAGCGAGCTTGACCTGCATCTCCCAACATCACAAACGACGTTTTTGACTACGACTGAGGCCTGGTCATCACATCAATGCGTCACACACATCACCTTTCGTTTTCAAGGTCTATCATCACTGTCAAACATGACTTTTTGGTATAGCCAGGCAGACATCACAGTCCACCACTCATCATCGTATAGAGATCCATCAAAGTAATGTCATCATAACCCCCGATTCGACGGTCTACCAATATCTTGATGGTTCTTTCTTGCATGGCTATAGTATCAAAGGTATCTAAGTTATGCTACCGTCATCCAAGTTTACTCTCACCCTAGGTTCGATTACCACAGTCTCACATCAATTTGGCCATGGATCCCTAACGTCCTCTCTTACTGCTGATAAGACAGCTACCTCTTGCCTTTACCACATGTCTCTCCAGGTGAGACACGGAGTCTCTCCTTCAGCAATAGTCTCGTTGTCTCATCCAATATATAAATGATCTTTGCTACCTCCCAACCGTCTTCCATCCTCTCTCTACTTCCTCTTTCTCTGTCCCATCTCTTACATCGCATCAACAACTCAACAATGCTACATCTCAAGATCAATCCAATCCCACACACAGATACCATGAGTCCCTCAACATCGGACTCAGGCCCAGGCGAGGTATCTGCAGACTTCATGGCTGAGACAGTGTCGAGGTCTTCGTCAAGGTCTTCGTCAAGGTCTCCGTCAAGGTCTCCGTCAAGGTCTCCGTTAAGGTCTTCGTCAAGATCTTCTTCAGTCGTCGATGTTCAAATCAAAGAGACGATCTTGGAAACTGCACTGAAAGCCCAAATCAGGATTCTGAGACGCGAATTGGCGGAATTGCAGGCAAAATTGGACAAGCTCGAAGCCAAGGAGTTGCGTCGCGGCGCACTCAAGAAGCACACCTTTTACGAGGAACCTTTCGTCATGTAATTATATTTTCAACAACTCTGAACTCATAGCTAACAATCTTCAGTTCTTTCCCCGAGGACGAAGAGGTCTATCTTGCCTCTGAAGATAAGCAGCACGGCGAGATGCCTGAGTACTTTTACCGTGCATTCCACGAGACCTCTGGCACCTTGAGCTGCTACGTAACCAAAGACTGCTGGCCCAGTGTGCATCCAAAGTACAAGAAAGGGGCTGCGTTCCAGTCTCTCAATGAGTTCTTACCGGTGCGAGATTTGACTTTCGAACGGGTCTTGCGACACTTCAATTGGCAACAGAAGAACCCGACCACTTCGTACATATCGGTCTTCGATAACTACGGTAAGTACTACTCTCGATCTTCACGATTTGATATTAACCCTGCATTAGCCATGACAGAACGACGAGCGCACTTCTTGTACCACGAGAGCGCACGCCACCCACGTCGCATCTCTGTTGCTCGTTGCATCAATCGAGATCTTAAGCCTGCTTTTTTTGAGACGACAGAGATTCTTTCTGCGGACCTAATCGAGGCTGCCAAATCGAAACGTCTCGGTAAAAAGACGATCACCGATAGTGCAAAGTCTCCAGAGGTTGCTACTAGACAGAAATCACTCGCTAACTGTTCGCCTTCTGCGACTCCCGTCAACACAGTTGAAGATACAGAATCTACGCCGGAAAAGGCCCAGGAGAATACCATCGTCCCCAAGGAAACACGCAAGGTCAAGATACCTATCTGGGTTCGAAAGAGCGCAGTACCGGAGGATCGCGCGGACATCACTATCCAAGAGTTCGAAGCTTCTGGTTCGGATATCTGGTTGTCAGTACGGGAGAACCAAAAGACTGGCTTAAATCTTCCCACGGCCTGTCGCGGTCAGCCAGAGGAATGGCTTGCTGGTGGCGTCATACCCAAGGAATATGTCGACCATGTATGGCCCTTCGATGGTACGAAGGTTCACACCCATGACGGAGATAAAGTCGTGACAAGCTCAGCGGAGGTCGACTATGAGTTCGGACCAAAAGACCGGATCTGGCGCTCAAAGACCGAGATGCGTAACCTCGAACAAGCTTTCAAGCGCAACAGGATCGAGAAGCGCAAGTCTGCAGATGTTAATTCTGCATCCTCAAAACGCCAAAAGCCAGATACCGAGTCTTAGCTCTTGGATCTCAACGCCCTCAGACCTTACTTCCCGCCCTCTATGCGCAGAGATATCGATGCTGACCCGGACTCTGACGACGAAGTCACTCTGTTCCCGGATAGCATCTGAGTCAAGATACGCATCCCTTCTCCTCTGCATGGATCGCACAAGTTGGTTCTTCAGCCCAAAGATTACGCTTATCAAGCTCCCGATTCAGTCCTGCCATTTCGTCTACCTCGATAAAGCACGGCTCCTACATAACATCCCATGAGCTTTTGACTTGCGACTTCTACTGCCCGTATTCCTCACCTCCCTTTTCCTTCCTTGTCTTTCCTTCTCAAAAGTATTGCTTTCATGTTCTGTGCGTTCCCGTCAAACGGTGGAGTCGGACCGCGCAGGCCTTCTCGCACATCACCACTGATCAAGTCCGCCTGTCTGAGCTTCGTGCTTTTGATCAAGGCTTCTAGCATGGACCTTAGAAGGCGTTTCTCGAACACAGAGTTGGTCTCGGATGTTAGATCAGGGTTGAGGGCTACATGGGGCTCTTTGATGTGCGGCATGCTTTCTTGTTTCTCACACTGCTTCATACATTCGACATTACAATCCTTTACCAATCAATACTTTCTGCGTGTAATCTTCAAATTGATCCAAACTCTTCTCATAGTGACTTGACAACATGATGTAGACGCGTGGACTTTGACGATACTCAGCCCACCTGATAATGACTTCATCGAATCTCCAGATATGCGCAGCTATGAGTGAATTATGCTGTTCCAGGGGCCTAATTATTCAGTTAGTCCAACGGGTGCGGGGCGATGTGCAGCAAGATTGGCGGCAGGCGACCCCACCAAAAGCCGCCCGGAGCCCCCAGCTCCATGGGCCCTGCATGTGCGGCTGTGCAAGTGGCGAAGGACCGGACGAACCATGATTGCTCTCAGCCCTCGAACCTTCTCTCCTTATACGCCTCTTCCAAGGTCAAAAGCCTCTGGATTCTCCTCCTTATTACCACTTCCCACCACATCATCAGGGAGCCTTTTTGAGTAGCAGGACTGCATCCGCTGCCACAAAATCCGCAGAGATGCCTGCGCCACTGGCCAAAGGTGAGTACGGATAACTCCACTTATGCATGTTGCTGCGGTGTCCCCAGCATATCCAACGTTATTTCTCTTGTCGCGTATTCCTCTACTGTCTACTGTACTTTCCTATGCCAACCTGCTTGCAGGCACCGGCGCGCGCTTCGCATCTCCGCAAGGCAACACTCAAACCCCGCCGCACCGTCCTAACCACCCCTTCACATCAGGCCTCATAATTGCCGCGTCCGTCATCGTCGCCGCCGGTATCGCCATCTACGAGTCTCCCCAAGTGCGACAATGGGCCGATCAAACCCGCCGCAAGATCGCCATCGCGCTGCATAACCTTGGCGATGACATTCAGCCTCGCCGCCCGAGCGAATCGTCCGATGACTTCGAAGCCAGGAAACAGAGGAGGGAGGAGTTGATCAGGAGGAATAGGAATGAACTGATCAGACGGGCGAGGGAAGAGGGTATCGCTGTCGACCTGGATGAGCTGGCTCGGATCGGTGCTGAGACGGCTGAGGTGGCTGCCAGGCGGTCGAGGGCTGATCGGACGAGAAGCTTTGACGATATGGTCGGCAGCGATGGCATGCTCAGGGACAACGCGACGGCAACTGGCAAGGACAACTCGAATGGTAATCTCAAGAAGCGTGGTGCTGCTGGTTTTGCCGCCGGCTCCGCTGCCGCTGCTACCATGGCCAACCCCTTCTCCGACGACCAAGTACTCTTCGACCACGACGAAGACGAAGCGCCCTCACCCAAGCCATTCACCTATGAAGAACCCGCCGCCCGCGAAAGCTCCGCTACAATCGTAGCCGACGTCCCCTCCACACCCACCACCGGCACACTCGTCGACCTAACACCCGACCCCGAGCACTCCCTCCCCGAGACCCCATCGCCCGCGCAACCCGCCCAAGAAGACGCCGACCAAGCCGCCCAATCCTTCTACTCCTTCACCTCCTCGCAAGCAGGCGAACCCACTTCCTCCCACCCCTTCTTCGACGACAACGACGCCGAGCACCTCTCCACCGGCACCCTAACCCCGCGCTCCGAGCGCTCCATGACCATGAGCGGCTCCGTCGCCTCCGCCCACGCCAACGACATCGCCATCCTTAGCATGCCCAACAGCGAACAAAACGACACAGACCACGACGCGCGTTCAGAAAGCGGGTTTACAGATGCCTTTTCCGAGGGCGGCTTCAGCGAGTTCGACGGCGACAGGCAGGGCATTATGACGCCTACGAGCTGGACGGATGTGGGTAGTGATGATGATAGTGAGTGGGGTGGTGCTGGACAGGCGGGGCATGTGAGTCAGATACATCAGTAGATGTAGATTTGTTGCAAGTTGGGAGAGGGGGTTTCACTTGTTGGCTTCAAAATGATACTATAGGGTGGCACGGCGTTGAAGGGTATACTTGGGATCAGACATGTCCCGGCGTTTTGATTTAGATGGGAACGGGGTTATGGACATCTAGGCAGCTATTATCGCTATCATATTCTTTACATATATCTTCGCTAACGAGATCTTTCAGTGACCAGTTCTGAGCTTCCGCCCACTTCTTACAGCTAGGATGTGAGATTCTGGTGCAACCCTTGCCGTTCCATGGTAGACGTATTGTCATCAGAACATATGGTGGGACGGCCAGCTCAACAGGGTCCAGAGAGAAGCGAGCACGTGAGAGCTACTGCCTGAACTCCTGCCTGAAATATTGAGTTTCCGTCGCTTTCTCTCGCTCTCTCTCTCTTCATCCCTTTACACTTTCGCCCCAGCACTGCTCCTCCTTGTCTTAGACGAGTCATCTCCAGTTCATCTCTCAGATGGCGAATACTGTCGCCTCCGGCCTTTCAAATGACGTACCGACCCACGACCATGTCGACTGGTCTGTCGCCAAGAACTACTTCATGTATCGACGCAACCTGGATCGTACATCTGTAGGACAGTGCGACCACTACTATCACTACTCATCTAACCGCGATGATGAAGCTTGGAGGCACTGGTGTAGCGATCACCACAGACCCGATGCTGAACTCGTCTTCATGCCGCCACAAGTAAGTAGCAAGAACTGTCAGGTCAGCAACAAATTCAATCTACTTGGGCTACCGGGGGAGCTAATTTCAAATATCGCAGATCATCTAGCGCCTATCGATCTGCTTAGCTACCGCACAGCGTGCAGAGATATCTGGGGTCTGACTGCTACAAAGAGGACTCAAGCACGCTTACATCGACTTCCAATCGAAGCCCTCGACGAACACGCTTGGAAGATCCGCAAAGATTGTTTCAATAGAATGGCAGAGTATGAGAACTCCAACAACACTCCTTATGGTAAGCTCCTCTGCAGCTACTGTATGGACCTCCACCCGATCTCCTCTTTTAGCGCAACCGAAGTCTCGAAGCATAGTACCGAGAGTGCATGTCGAAAACGCTGCACAGCATCCCAAGCCAAGGTATATCTTTGTTCTCATATGCAGTTCTCGTTCAAAGACTTGAACCAACTATGCAGAGGCCTCACAGATCGTCTTGTATGCACACTCTGCTCCGCAAGCTGCAGTTCCGGGTCAAAATTAATCGGCGCTAGCGACCACTGTTCATTATCCCAAAGGATATTCCTACCTATGGCAAGCAATAAGTACATCCGGCCGATGCTAGGATGTCTCCCCATCCGATGCGATTCCTTCTCCGCGAAATCAACCATATTGTCCACTCTTCGCAAAGTCGTCCAAAACGCGGACATGTATATCTGTCCACATATACAGATCAGAGACAGAACCTGCAAGATGCTTGGTAACATGATAGAAGAAGCGCTTCTCCGCCCCAACCGAAAGCACAGCTCTTTTCGAATGGCATCATACAAGGCGACCCGCTTTTCAGGCTGTGAGAAAACTGGGTGTATAGCGGGGGTGGATGTGATTCTGGAACAGCATGGCATTACTATCGAGGCGATTAGGAGGGTGAAAATCACGACGGTAACAGCGGAGAATTGGCTAGTGAGTACGCAGTCTCCCGTGGCGGATGTTCGAGTTTAGAAGATTGCTGGAAGGTATGTCCGGATTCAAAGGGGCGAAACTTTGGGTTACGGTATTGAGAAGACACAAGGTAGCAAATTAGGCCGCATAGATCGCTGTGTCCCAATGAACCGAGCTACCGATCACGAATAAACACACCTCCTCTTCACTTGTTCTGCTCGCTGACAAAAGATAACAGTGAACAGATGCGCGAGTAGATTTTCTTTCCATGACAAGCTCAGCATCATTAGATGCTTTTGATAGGATGACCTAACCAAAGGGGTCCAATCAAACCATGGGCGTATTCGCGCACGTGATCACTAGCGCACATTGTTGCCTTCCAAGGTTGACTTTAATGCTTATAATCACCGCAACAAACTTCCACTACCCCATTTTTCTCTACCTCAACTCCTCCCTCGCCACTATCCTTACGAAGATCCCTTCATGATGGCGATGACCGACAATCCCAGGATGATGTCTGGTGCACCGATACGTCAATTTCGGCACAATATCGCTGACCATTCTGCCGCGAAGGAATATTTCATACACCGACACAAACTTGACCGCTCCCTTGGAAGAATTCGCAGCGCTTACCACAAGCCAGATCCCGCCTTCATATTGATGCCGCGAAAAGCGCACAGCGGGACCAACCGTATAGACGACGGACAAAACCTTCTCCGCCTACCTGGAGAGCTGATCTTGGACATACTCGACCTGCTACCGCCTGTCGATGCACTCAGCCTTCGCATGACATGCAGATACATCTGGGGTTTGTCATATTCAACCAGCCTCCAAAGCCGGTTGACGCTACAGGACGGAGACTTCGACGAATACGCGTGGCGATTGCGCAAAGATTCCTTTAACCGACTCGCTGAGTACGAAGAGGCTAACGACGACTCTAGACGGTATACCCCGCGCGATAGACTTCTATGCAGCTACTGT